ACTCTGCCACACTATATAATGTGACAGAACCGGAGTTCAATTCATCTCTTTCTGACTGATTATGCGAACCTATGTAAGACACGTCTTAGACTTTATCCCGATTAAACTTAAATCTGTTCGATGTATGACATATAATGCATTTTTTAGAATGCATCTGTGTTGTTGACCTATACTATCTTTTCTATATACCACTCTGCATCCTCTGTATATGGAAGAAGCATTGAATCTGAGTCTGAGTCAGATGTAGTTATTTAAGGAAACAAAGCTTTTAGAATTCTTATTTTCTCTGTTTTCAAGTAAATTCTAGATCTCATTTAAGGAAAACCAAACTTTTGCGTACGTTGATAATAAAAAGTGTGTCTGTAAACTTTTTTCAATTTCTTTTACCTTCAGTTGGAAGTAATGAATCATAGTTGACTGTGTGATCATTTTCCATCACATGCACCCCACCACTTATACGCTACCATTCCTCCTTGTCACGTTCATCGTACTTCTTACCCAAATTATGATAATGTTAGTGTATATATGTTGGATCTGACTAGGATGTTAGGAATCAACACATGCAAATGGGGTCCTTATGACGTTTCATGATCTTGTATAAAAAAAGTTGTTTGATTTGGTAAGCAAGAGAATGAAACCTTTATCTCCCACCTAACAAAACTTGCATCATTCCAACAACTGTATCATTCATAATCAATCTCTTAATTGATGATTAGTTGATTAGCAATAGTTTATTAACATGATAACACTTTATTAAAACATGTTTTATTAAAGGTGAAACGGTCAATCACACACCTCCATTACAATTTACAATAATGTTTCAAGTGGTTTGTTAGTGACCTTGCGTGGATTTGATGTATATTAAAATATAATTATGTATTACGTATGTTCTTTTGTAATTCATTCAGAATATAAAAAAAAATATACAGTAACGTTACTTTTTTTATACAAGTGGAAATAAAGAAGACATCAATAATAGAATAAAAAGATCCATTATCAAATCTTGTGACACAACTGTACTAGCTGTAATGAGCTGGTATTTGATAAAAATATTCGATTCATACGTCAATCTTTTTCTTTACATTGGCCTCTCTCTCACACTGTAACTGTTCACACGCTGAAGAGTCTTAAGGACTAACCGTTTACTTTTTATTCTTAATTATAGAAGGACGGTGGATAAACATTTAATTAATAAGATTGGTATTTGGATACTTTTTAATATCAACTCATTAATCATTTAATTAGTCATCTTATTAATCAGGATTATATAAATATAACTTATGGTCAATGATGTTTGTTAATTTGCTTGCAAGCTTTCATCACAATTGTCAATTATATTAGTGAGATTCCTTCTCGGTGGTCAGCAAGAAGACGTGTGCACAACAGTCTAAGTAGGTGTTTATTGCAAGTTAAATTTAGTTTATAAATTTCGAATAAGTTTATATTCGTTAAAGGAAATAAGCTGAATGTGGTATGAAAAATTCACCACTCTTTTATTTAGGGGAATTACTTTTCTCGCATTTACTAGTGCTCCCCCACCTTATGAAAAACTCAAAATGTTCATGAAATATGGAAGTACATTTTTAAATGCATAAAAATCTCATTAAAAAAATCCGAAACTGTAACTCGAGAACACTGCACGTGCTAAAAAAATTAGAAAAGTAACATTATATAAATAACATTAATCATTTATTATGATATACATTCAAAACGAAATATTACATAAATAAGTATTAATGTAAATCTAACATTATATTTTATCATTAAGTAATAGTTGAGAATGTTTTAACATTTTTAGAATATCTTTGGTCGATTTCGAATTCTTCACATTCATTTCGATCAGACTTTTTATTTCGTAACGGTAAATTACTTCACATAATAGTTAAATCTTTATCTTTTTCAGCTCAAATTTGTTGAACTGTATATTTTTCTCGTTGTCAATCGAGGGTGAAGGATAATAGAATTTCATAACTCTTCTATTGTCTGGGTATAAATTTTTTAGTATGTATTTTAGATCGACAAAAGGGTAGTCTCTGGGAACTTAAATTCAAGAGGAGATTTCTCGTCGTTGAAGTAGACAAAAATGAGATATGCATATTGATACATTTTGTGTGTGCTAACAAGATGAGGGACACCTATATTTATACAAGTTTTAGATCAATATGGAAAGTGAAAACGAGGACAATTGTTGGTCTCAAGTAACATTGTCCTCTTTTTCACTTTTCAAAAATGCAAACCCAATCGTAAAAGTCTTTTTCGTAGAAGTAACACCAACAATTTTCAATGGTGGAATCATGTACTTGTTTGGTCTTATATGTTAAATCAATAATGAGTATAGTGAAAAATGTGTTGAACAATTTTATGGAATCAAGATGACTGTAAAATACATCTCGAACGATTTCTCCAGTGTTGCATACTTTGTACCTAGATATATAATTATAATCATCCAAAAGTTTCAATAATTGTTGCATTTCAGTTCAATCCCCTCTTATTGCCTTGTTGTTTCGAGTATAAATATTGTATACTTGTTTGATATTTGAGATATTTTGAGGTCTTTTCCATTTCAAAGTTGTAAGTATATTTTTGAGTTGCACTATGTTCAATGTCATATTAGAAACAATTTTCTTCTCTTGAGCCTTAAGGCGACATGCAATGAGATGATCGACTAACTTGCAACACATGTCATGATTATATATACCACAAATCACATTAAATCTCCATGTATTATTCACGATAAGATATTCGCGCAATTTAAAAGGCCACTCACATTTTCTTGAATCAGTGTCATCTTGTTTCAACTTTCGAATAAGATTTGTGTACTTGCCACTTCTTTCGCATCTTAATGTCATAAATGCATGTCTTTTATTTGAACCATTATTTGACCTTCATATTTCATCTTTGAATCCCAATTTGGAAGTCTTCGTGTGGATGTGTGGATCCATTGAAACATATGATCACAAACAATAAATTCCTATTTACTTGTAAATTATTTACCAACATCTACCTTAACATTAACCAATTTGACATTCTTAGGCACAATAGTTTTGGAGGCAATATCAGAGTGCACCATATGTAAGGCCAATCATAGTAGAAAATATTCAAAAATTGACCAAATTCAACTCTGAACAAATTTAGAAATACAATTTCGTATGACATTCAAAGAAAATTCCAAAATATATTTTCAGACACAACGTTCAATTTTTCAGACAGAAAAATAGATTAATGAAAGTAATGAGAAAAAAAAATACATGTACATTATCTTAAATTTCAACTTCTTTTGCTCATTTTGAAGTGGAAAAATAAAGAAATGTTGTTTTGAAGTAGAAAAGTTGATTGAGTGTGGGATGAGGTTTTGGTAGAGTTTGAAGAAGAAACGGTAGTATGATCATGAGTGAAGAAAATATGCAAGGTGGTGTTTTATTAAATTTTTCGCTTGACGAAAATGCATATCCAAAATATTCACTAAGTTGAAAAATATATGCAAGGTGATATTTTCTCTCTCTCAAATTCCAGCTTGACAAATCCGGAAATGCACTTGTGTATTTGTCATTGAGTTGTTAAATTAACAAAATCATTTTCAACCTTGTTTTGGGAAAAATAGGAGTGTGTCTCACTTAGAACGTATTTTGGTGTCTTACTAAGTTGTAAAATAAACAAATCATTATAGGAGTTTGTCAGAAGATACATATACATTTCTAGACTAATTTTTGAGAAAATAAGGGTGTGTCTCCCTTATAACGTATTTTAGTGTGAAATAGATACGTTTGAAGATGTACTTCTAAAATTAGAAGGAGTATTTTTGGGTTTCCATATAGTGATTCTCCATCATTAAGAGTGGGAGAAGTAATGCCTTATTTAGGGTGAGAAATGAACATTTCCGCTTCATTTAACCCACATCGCAAAACAGTGGTACAAACCTAATTGAGAGTGTAGACTTAAAATCACGTTCAAATATATTAAAAGATATAAATCTTACCTTCAAATTAAATTTTATTTTAAATTTAAAATCAATTCAAACATACACTCAAATTGAATCAGTTCAAAATCATTGAAGGGATTTGTTGGAGATACACTTCTGAATTAATTTTTGAAAAAATATAATGTGTCTCACTTACAAAGTATTTTGATGTCTCACTAAGTTGTAAAATAAATAAAATTATTGTAGGGGTTTATCTTCGGACTAGTTTTTGAGAAAATAATGGTGTGCCTCACTTAAAATATTTTTGGTGTGAAATAGATACGTTCAAAACTATACTTTTGAATTTAAGAGAGAGTATTTTTGAATTTTCATAAGATAATTCTCCTCCACTAAGAATGAGAGAAGTAATGTTCTTATTTAAAGTGATAAACAGACATATCCATTTCGCTTAGTCCACCTCACAAAAAAGTAAAAATAACATAGTTGAGAGTTCAGACTTAAAACTTTGATCCGTCTTACAAATATAATTGAAGATGAAACAGATCACCTCTAAATTCATTTAAAAATAAAAAAGTAAATTGAAATATAAAAATTATATTCAAAGATATTAATCTTACATTCAAATTAAAATTTATTTTAAATGTAAAATCTATTCAAACATACACTCAAATTGTGTACCGACGTAAAATACCTAGACAACAACAAAAAAAAATAAAAAAATTAGAAAAGGAAAAACAGGAAAGAACATAGAAGATATAAGATAATTGAAAGTAAAAAAGCAAAGGCAAATGAAAAAGAAAAAGCAAAGTAGTTGCCTCCACCACACCCCCACCCTAGACAAAATTTCCTTTATAACCAACCCACACATCTCATTCCAACTTCCCCTTCTCCCTCAAACCCTAATCCCCTTCTCATCTTCTTCAACATGTCTTTCTCCACCCAACAACCCATCTCCAATTTCACCCTAACCCAATCCATATACGAAGCAGCTTTAATCCTCGCACTCCTAAGATGGATCCTATGTTTCATTTTCAAAACAATCAAAAAACAACATAGACAACACCAACAACAATGTTGTCAAATGTTACCTCTCACAAGCTTCGGCGAAATCACAGAAAGACATCCCGAAACACAGGATTCTTCTACTACATGTGCTGTTTGTTTGAACAAAATGAAAATGGAAGACGAGGTTCGAGAATTGATGAACTGTTCTCATCTGTTTCATAGAGAATGTATTGATAAATGGTTCGAACATGGTTATGAGAATAATGACAATTGTAATCAGACTTGTCCTCTTTGTAGAGCTCCTCTGATTACTACTACTGATTATGTTTCTTCCGAGGTTTTGACTGCTTGTGTTTCTCCTAGTCAACCTAGTTGGGCTGTTGAGAGACTTCTTTATCTCTTTGGTGATGATCTTTTGCCTTGTTAATTCTTAATTATAAGATGATCATATAGATTAGGGAATTCATTATTTGTTGGGTCTTCTTCATAAATTTCTTAGCTCAAGAAAATTATTCTCTTTTGTTGTTGGTAGATGTTAAGGTTAAGACACAAAATTTGTATGTATAGTTTTATGTTTATGTTTGTTTGTATCTATGTACTATGTATGTGTATACTTTATTCACATTTGATCAATATAAAATATTACTACTTATTATTCTGTTTTTTCCACTGCATTTCTGAATTAAGCAAATGATTCATTTCTTGTATTACAATTACATAGACATAAAAGAAGAACAAAAAATGCAGAGAATTTGACCTCTCACATGAGTATATCGATTAAAGTTTGTTTGTCTTCACAGTTGCAATTTTAAATTGAGGGAAATTTATCAAATTTTTTCCCATAAACATTTCACCATAGAGTAGTAATTGCTAACAATGAGATTGCCTTGATTGTAAGCATGAAGATCTCGTTTCAACTGAAAAACACAAGGTCCATTCATTTGCAAGAAACACGTGTGTAGGTCGCTCCAAATATCAAATGCGTTGTTGGAGTAGATCACACTGGATGTGAGGTCTTTGAAAATCAAATTGATTAACCATGAGACAACAATGTAGTAGTTGCAAAGCCAACGCGAGAAAAGAGGATCATCCTCCTACAAAGTCGGTAACGAACCATCAATAAAACCAAATTTGTTCCTTCCGATTAGAGCCATCTTGATTGCACGACACCATGTGTTGAAATTTTCACCAGTAAGGGAGTGAGAAACAGGGTTGAGTCGAAATAATCGTTGTGATCTATGAAGCTCCTACATGTCAATTGCAAGACATGTTTATGTATTGGATACGTATCGGACACCGACACACGTACGACACATATCAGACACGTTTTTTTTTTTAAGTGTCCAATGAAAAAAATAATTTGAAATGCAACAGACACATAAACGACACAGAATTTCAAATAACGGACACGTCAGACTCTCAAATTCTCATAATTAAAAAAAATTTACATTTTATATTCCACTTTCTCACTATAAAACAACTCGTAATTCTTATTTTTTTCATCTTTTCTTTTTGTTTTCATCTTTTTTGTTTGTTTTCATCTTCGTCGCACGACGGTATTTCATTGTCGCCACTGCCGATATTCCGCTCTTTCTCTTCCGATACTCATTCCTCTTTTTTCTTTATTATTTATTTCTATTTTTGTTTTCTGTTGTTAATTACATACATTGACGATGACGCTTCACTCGTGTTATTATTTATAAATTGTCTCTGCTTTTTTGTTTATGTTTCATTTTAACCACATAAATGTTATATGTTAATTAGATATGTCATTGGTTATTTTTCTTTGTATCACTCATGTTATATCTTAATTACATATAACAAATAATTTGTCTTTGGACAAGTCAGACTAAATACCTGTTTTTCGATATGAATATTGTGATATGATTTATATTATTTTGTTTAAGTAATTTTTCTTAATTGAAAGTAGATTGAAAATATTAAATTAAATAAATATAAATTTTAATTATCATTTTAGACTCTTCCGTCTTCATAAATTGTGTTCATAAATTATATTATTTTATTAATATATAAAATATATTATTTGCGTCTGTGTTCTATGTTTTTTCCATTAACATTATTCTCGTATCATGTCCTTTGTCGGGTCTGAGTCCGAATTTCATAGGTTGTGATAGATGAAGTAAGGATCTTTGTGATTGTGTTCAACTGCCATGGATGCACCGAGCAATCACGAAAGGGAGCATGATGAAAAGGAAAATCGAAAATGGTTGATTGCAAAAGAATCCAACATTTCAAGCCCTTGATACCATATTAAAGTTCAGAAAAGGATAAGTTTTCATTTTCTTTGATTGAACTTCTTACAAGAATATACTAGTACAAAGGAAAGTCATTAGCTACTTAATTTAATACTAACAAATTAACAAGCTTTTTTAACTGACTACCCAATAATCCAAACTAACTTCTAAAAACAAATTAAAACAGAAATTAATTTGGTTAAGCTTTTTAAAGTTGTTGATTTTTAAGTATCAACAACTTAATTACATTAATGCATTATGAAAAAAAAGTAAAAAACTAGACTTTTGACCAACTGATTACACACTTCTAGTTCAAATAACATGTATCATCTGAACTACTTCAATTAGTTACTTAATTAAGTTGAAATAAATGGATAGTTTGAATAATTAGTGAGATTTCAACCTATAAACTCATATTGTGTTGCTCTCTATTATAGATGAGAATAGATTGGGTCGAGTTAGATTTTGCTAAATCTGAGTCTAACATGTTAAAAATTTTAAAGTCTAAGTCTGACTTGTGGATTATCATATGTTTATTTTTCAGCTTGAGTCTGACCTTTTCGAAACTCTGATTAACTTATTAACTTGCGCCTATATCATTTGAAAATTTGTAAATAAGAAATTCAACTAATACTTAAATATATCAGAGAATCAAAAATACAATAAGACAAAATGTTTATTCACATTGACTTATTTGAATTTACACAATAATATAAATTTTATGAGATTATTTATTTGAAAGAACTTATGAAAATAAATTATGATATTGTTTATAATGTTTTTTCAATTTTTTTCAAGAAGTTTTTCAAAATAGCTAAACTTTACTTTTGTATTAACATAAAATACAAAAAAAAAAAAATTTATTCATATTTATTAAATTAGACTGATCTGATAGGTTAAATTTTTTTTTTAAAGCCTGTAATTTAGTCGAATTTTTTTATTAATAACCATGTATTAAATTAATATTTCGCAAATAACCGGGTTTCGGAAAAAATTACGCAAATAACCATGTTTCAGATGGCTCCACAAAGGAGGAGCCATCTCAATTGGCGCATGTACCTAGGGTTTTGCCCTAGGCGCCATCTCACTTGGCGCCTCCCTTGTCTTTTAGCCAAGTGAGATGGCGCATGCTCCTTAAAAATGAGAGGAGGCGCCATCTCACTTGGCGCCTAGGGCAAAACTAGGGTTTTTTGCTGTTTTATAAATAATTCGTCCGTTTCTTTGAAATTTCTCACACTTTCTCGCACTGTATTTTTATTTTGTACTCCCTTATTTACGTAATGACATTGCCTATGATTTTTAGCAGAGATGGTTACGTTATATTCTCCGCCACGAAACCTGCGATGAAAATGAAATTCTGGCACATTCACTCTATGGAGCGTCTGAAGCGGGAGTTGATGCGGTGGCTAGATGGAGACATCGCCGAGGGGGAAAAAATTCGAAGGATCCAGCGAAAACGAACAACAACCTCGCATGCGACAGGAAGACCTAATGTGTGGTTGGAGGAAGTCAAAACAGACAGTGATGTAATACTGATGATGCATGGGTCAGATGAAATTGTGTTAACAGTTGTAATTTCCTAGATTGAATATCGTTAATCATTGTTGTACGCGAAAACCCTAATGTAATTTCCTATATTGAATTTCTTAAATTGTGTGAACAGTTTTATTAACGGAAAACCCATAATGTTTACAACACAAATATTGAAAAGATTTATTGTATTACAAAATTTATGTGGCCGAGCCAGACGCCCGATTCAGACAGTTTTTGCGATTGTGTCCGACCTGACGGCATAAACCACACTTTCTTTCTAACCTGTCAAGATCGTCCATTTTTGTTGTTATGCGCCTGCTTTTGGGACGACCCTTCTTGTTCCTTCGCATTTGGTCATTGTGCCAAACTATATCACCGTTGTATTCAGGCCAATAGTCCGGTTTTGCCACCAAAGGAAAGTTGTTGTTGTAAACAGTGAGCAACGTTTCAGATTTATAAACGTTTGAGAGCAGTTGAAGCGCGTCTTGATGGGTATGAGCACAAGCGGCAATGACATGAGAGCAAGGCATACGAAAAGCTTGAAACCTGCCACAATCGCACCATTGAGAAGGTAAAATGACCCTGTATTCTTGTCTTGCCAGGCCTTCATTGTGGTCAATTGTCTCTTTCACAATGAAGTTGTGGCTATGGCGGTCAAACCGTGTAACCATGTGAGTGTTGGCTTTAGCACTTTCAGCCTTAATGTATTTCATACAGCTTTCACTCCATAGTTATCCTGATTGCAAGACCGCATACCACATTTCACCTCTTTTGGCAAATAACACAGCCATCCTAAAATACGTGGATTTCACCAAGGCAGTGATGAGGAGGTTTCGTATGCCCTTGAATACCCCATTCATTGATTCAATAAGATTTGTTGTCATATGCCCCCATCTTTGGCCATTGTCGTATGACCTAGTCCACTTTTCGACCGGTATATTGTCGATCCACGTACCGGCTTCTGGGTTAGACAAACGGATCTCGTTGCGGTAATATTTGAATGTGGGCTGTGTCAGTGCGTATCCCGCATTCATCACCGCTTTCCTCAATGTTTTGTCCTTGACCTCCCTCGAGAAATTCTGGACGATATGCCTGACGCAATAGACATGCGTAGAAGGAGGGTCATGCCAACCATTTGCCGTATTATTATAGGCACTTTCAATGGAGGCATGTCTGTCCGAGATCAAACAGAGATCTGGTTGAGGAGCCACGTGTGTACGAAGATTTTTTAGGAAAAAGCTCCAAGCACCACCGGTCTCCCCCTCGACAAGGGCAAACGCAACGGGGAAAATGTTATTGTTGCCATCTTGTGCAACTGCCATCAAAAGCGTGCCTTTGTACTTCCCATACAACCAAGTCCCGTCTATTTGTAGAATTGGTTTGCATGATGCAAACCCTGTGATGCATGGTTGAAATGCCCAAAAGACGCGACTGAATATTTCGTTGACATGTAGTAGACTACCATCTTGGGCGTACGCTGGCAATGTTTCCAGAACATAAACACTACCTGGAGAATATGTCTTGAGTGCATTTAGGTAGCGGGGAAGTTCTCGGTATGACTCCTCCCAGTTTCCGTACACCCTTTCAATCGCCTTAGTCTTTGCTAACCACGCCTTACGGTAAGACGGAGTGTAGTTAA